TCTGCACAACATTAATTCAGATTAACATATGAAGTAAGCAAAACTTGAAAAACGTTTTTCGCATTTAATCCACCTAAAGATCTTCCATGCATCGATCGTTTTCCTAAAAAGAAAAATATTGATGTTGATTCCAAAGCAAAGGCAGATTTTGGGAATATAAATGAAACAAATAATATATATCAGACTGTGTTAGCAAATATAAGTTCTTCCTTCTCTATATTATATGCATAAATTAGTTAATCTTGCTTTCATTTATGAAAGAATATGTTAGACTTCACAATAATCACGATTAGAAGTAACTGAAGTAAAACGCAAACCATGAAAGTAAATATCGTGAAAAGAAATCTTTAACTTCAGAACCATAGAATGAGAAAAACTATAACAAATCAAAAAAGAAAAGAAAAGCCAAGAAAGTGGTAATTTGTTTCTAACCTGCTATTTCCTCAGGAGTATAATCGGACAAAGTAATCTCTGAAATGATGCAGTTTGGCTCAAAAATCTGGTCCTGGCTCTTCGGTATCAAGTAATACATGATAAGTTCTTCATCGCTGGGTGCAAATCTGTAGCCAGGAGGACAATAATAATTCAACACGGCTGTTTCTTCTACACGATAGCCCTCCATTTGATCATAATTATGATCTGTTTCTGAAACCTCCATTGATATTGAAGAAGGCAACTAGAAGGGATAAATTAAGATGAGAATTGAGAGATCGAGTCTAGGCTTAATGAGAAGTTAGAGTTTAAAGCTGGAATTTCTCTGGATATTCAGTTTTCTTCTTTGAGTACGTACGTCCCTAATATTTATACCTTTTGCTTAAGGATAACATATGATCAGTGGCGGTTAATTTATGGGTGGCATGCAAGGAATTGAATATTAGAGTTACGTTGGGAAGTTGGTATTTATCCCTCAGGATTATTTGGGGTATTAATTAGGTATGTTTATCTTATTTATTTTTAGATTTCTATTAATATTTTGTGATCGTAATATGAAAATTCTAGGAAGAGAGAGCTCATGATACGATATAAATGGATATTTAAGTTTCTAGTGTGGACTAAATTTCTGTGATTTATACGAAGATTTCATACTGTTAGTAGAAAAGAACTCGGTTTCATACTGTTAGAAGAAAAGAACTCCCAGCAAAAAATAAAATAGAAAATAAAAAAATAAGAAATTAAATTTAAAGAGAAAAAAACAAAAACTTCAATAAATTGAATTCTAATTTTTTGTAAAAAAAAAAAAAAAAAACTAAAAAACGAAATGTAGAGAAAAAACTAAAATGTCATTAAAATAAATAATTTGTATTTTTTTGAATATAAAATCAAGATAGAATCAAGAAATCTATTATATTTTCCTGTCATGTAAAAGATAAAAATATTAAGAAGAGGAAAGAGAAGATGAAAAATGAATTGTATGGGTTAAGAAAAACCACATTTTATAGAGTAAAAACTAATTGTTTATAGCCGTGTAAAAATCCATTATATTATCGTTAGAAGTGGAAAAAAAAATTTCAATTATATAACTCAATTGATGTAGAAAATTAACAGATGAGAATAATTATATATATGAAGAAATTTTTGTGATAGTAAATATACTTCAATCTCATTAGTTTATTAGAGAGACTTGCTTTAAACGTGTGCATGGCATCCACTTTTTAATATAATCTCAAACATTGTTTAAAATAATTATCTTCAATATTGCCTATCTAATTAGTTACTTGGCATATATTTTGTCAACATTTGCTTGGCCTTGGCATATTTATAAGTTACTTTGCTGCGAAAGGTTGATTTTTAAATTAAATCATTTTAGTGCAAAGATGATTTTTAAATTAAATCATATTTATAAGTTACTTTGCTGCTTGGCCTTTTTTTTCTGTCATTTCCTTTTATTTTTCCCCCCTTTTGTCTTTATTTCTTCTCTCTCTTTTTTTTTTCCAACAATTTGTACAACCATAGTTCTAAAAAAATGTCACTCCTGTCTTTTGCTTTTGTTTTTTTTCCCATTTTTGTCTTTATTTCTTCTTTCTCTTTTTTTCTAACTATAACAATGTTTTAAAAAAAATATCACACCACAGAGCGTGCATTTTAACTTGTATATAACTACATAATTCAGTTTTATCAATATACTTTCATGTAGCGTAATTTTTAATTTCTCCTATAAATTGACCGCCACTCAAGTCGTCCTTGAAAAAAAAGAAGCGATAAATAGGGAGTGCATGAAAGAAGAAAACTGAAAATCCAGAGTTATACCAGCTTTCAACCCTTATAAGTTGTCATAGAGTCTCGTCTTAATTAGTTCCCTCTTAAATTGGAGGTTTCAGAAGCAAATCAAACAATGGAGGGCAATGTAGAAGAAAACGCCGTGTTGAATAACTGTCCGCCTGGCTACAGATTTTTTCCCACCGACGAAGAACTTATTTTGTATTTCTTGATACCAAAGACCAACCAACCAAATTTTGGAACCAATTATGATGGCGGACATTCCTTTGTCCGAGTACACTCCTGAGGAAATAGCAGGTCATCAGAAACCACTTTCTTGGCTTTTCTTTTATTTTTTTTAATTTGTTATTATTTTCTTCTTTAGTTGTGAAGTTAATTAAAGATTACTTTCCAAAATAATTACTTTCATGTTTTGCGTTTCACGTACCTCAGTTATATATACGTCGTTGTGATTATCATGAAATCTGCTTGTAAATCGTAATCGTAAGCAAAACTTTACAAAATGTATAAGAAGGAAGCACTTATACGTATAAATTAAATATACCCCTAAACTATATACTTTATCATTATCATATGTTTGTGTATGATTGTAATTCGTACGTAGCCTTCGGTTCTCTCTCTCGTCGTTTTTTTCTTTTATCATTTTTTTGGATTTTCGAAGACAGAGTTTCTTTTTCTTTTTTTTTTTTTTCCTTATCATTTTTTGGTTTTTTGAAGACAAAGGTTTATGATCTTTCTTTATGAAATCCATGGAAAATATTATATATTTACTTTTCAAGAAAGCAATTTGTGTGGTCGGGTTAATAAAAATGTCGTTCTTTTGCAATCAAGAATATATCAGGCTTTTCAGTGTTGTTGTTCTTTGTTTCATTTATATTCGTAAAATCTGCCTTCAGTTTGGAATCAAGATCTATTTTCTTTTTAAGAAAACGATGGAACGTTTTCACGTTATGGTAAAATAAACACGAAAAACATTACAAGTTTTGCTTACTTCATATCTTAATATGAGATTCTGAATGTTGTACAGTGAAATACAAGCCCCAAGTAGAGGGAACATGGTACTTTTTTACACAAAAAGTTCGAAAGTTTAACAAGGGACAGCGCCGGAACCGAGTTGCTAAAAATGGGTATTGGAGATTAGCAAACACAACAGATGTATACTCAAATAATAATGGCAACAAAATTGGATCCAAGAGTTTATTGGCTTTCCATAGAGTAATCCCAAGCGTAAAGGATTATAAAAAGACTGACTGGATTATGCATGAATTCTTACTCCCTAATTCAGATCAAAAGAAAAAAAGTGTTGGTGTTGGAGAAGAAGACATGATCAAGGTATGAGACTTTTGCGATATCGATCTCCTTTGTTCTCTTTAAGGATTTTATTTATATTTATGACTCGGACATATGATCTTCCCATAACGATTAAATTTTTTTCAGAATGGTTAAACTTATTTTTAGTCTTTCCCATTTTAGTTGCGGATTTTTAAATCGTCTCGAAACAAACTGCTAATCCATCTAACTTATAAAGTCTTAAAAGGGAGAAAAAAATACGCGGACTTTTTTAATAGCAATTGTGCCCTAAAAATGTAAAAATCACATGATTAACTCCGAGTTAACCGCACATATTGCTCTTTTTCATTAGTGTCATATATCCTTCCTTCTTCTCCTACTATATTTAAGTCTTAGTTTTCGCTGCAGCATGATGATGGCTATGTTCTTTGTCGGATGTATATGAGGTGCTGCTCTAAAACCAACGTCAAAAAAGCTCGAAGGAGATCAAACAAGAACGCAGAGACTCGAATTCTGCCACATAATGTGGAGACTGCACCTGCAGCCTCAGAATATCATGCACATGATATTGATGATCAGAACGCAATGCTTCTCTCGATGACGCCCGACCACATTGATCATGAAGCAATAACTGTCGTGGAAAACCCGTCTTCTACGACGGTCTCCGGCGAGAATCACGATCTCGGAGGACTTTCATCGGACACAATACCGAACGCAGTTGCTTCAGCTGCTGCTGCTGATGATGATGATGATGAGTTCACTGCGTTTTTGTCGCAGTACACTTTCTTTTTTGGTGATAATTACTATTATACACAGCTTATGGAGAATTTTCCTTCAACGATGATGTTTTGGTTTTGAGGGGTCTCGAGGAGGTGAATCAGCTGATTAGTAAAATCTCCAATCATACTCCTATTGCTCCCTTGGGATATACTGCTAGTGATAGTACGACATGTCGTATGTATACTTATTTTTCTTGCATGTTCTAAATACATGTCGTCAAGAGATGTTGCATCAGTGTATAGTATATGGTGGCAAGCAGTGACTGTAAAGTTTTTTAAATTTGGGCAGTAATTTTATATGTTTAAGGTTTTCTTTCTCGACTATTAATAGAGGAGTCATGATTGTTGTTATTTATAAAACACGCACATTAATATTGTTATGCCAATTAATTATATTTATAGTGTTCTCATTTTAGTGCAAATATGTTTTTTTTTTTTTTTTTTGCTATACAGTAAAAAATTTTGACGGGACTATTATTGCCACTACTTTATCGTGCATTGAATAAAAACACAACGTCCTGATAATCTTTAATTAAGTCATAAAATATATATAAAAAAAATCTTTCATTAAAATATTAATAATCCACTTTACATCGTTTAAGACAAAAAAAAGTTGTGATTAATAATTTGTAATTTCTTATCATGTAGGTGAAAATTAATAATAAAATGATCAGGTTAATAATGCAATACTTTATATCAAAGTGAGTTTTTTTTTTTTTTTTGGGCTTGTTTTCTCAAAGTGGTGAAACTCCACATAAAATAAACTCAATCAGGTATATACCGACAGAAATGCAGAGAAAATAGCCCCATCTATTAATTAAAAAAAAAAATACTAAATTACATTTTCTTTAAAACCCCAAGAAGAGGATTTAGTTACATGTAAATTAACCATAAATGATGCTGAAAAACAACTTTTCAGCTTGAAACCCAATTATACACTTTATAAATACACCATTGTACGTGTTATATAAGCAGATGCTACAATTTATAAAAGATTAAAGAATGATAATATAGCTGTTCTACCCTCTAACTAGAAAGCTTCTGTTGTTGTACCACCAAAACAGAAGCTTTGCTTATAACATCCGTGGAGGCAAGCAAGTCTCCAACAACACCAAGTTCACGAAACTCACTCCATTCATGAAGTCCCGACGTCAGATTGCTTCTTAGATTGTATCTTCTCCCAACTATAAACAGCTCATAATCATCAACAATCGATCTCAAAACCGCCGCGGTTTGTGTTCCGTCTTTTACCGTCTCTTTCACGTAGCCAACATTTCCATTTTCATGGCCGCCATTGTTATTGTTATTATCAATATTGGCAATCTCCTTGAGCACTTCGTGGTCGACCACCTTATCCCACTGCTCGATTTCTTTGTCTTCTGCGGCGGAGACTAAATGAACGATGGTTAGCTTGATGCATGAGTCGTTAACCATTCTTTTGGCGAATGTCAAAGCTTCTCTGTCGTCGCTGCCTCCCAAGAAGATCATGGCGACTCGGTAGGACGCGTGGCGCGACGCCATGGACTCGAGGCTCTCAGAGTGTCCCCGGTCGATGAGGATCCCGACCGAGCAAGGCGCCGTCTCGACCACACTGCAGTTGATCGACCGGATGGTGACGTCTTCCGACTCGATGGTGGACCCGTCGATGGACCATTTCCTGTGGAACGGGACGATTATGAGGGACGCAAGCTTGTCGAGGGCCAGGGTGCAGATGTCGTCGTGCATGTAGTCGGTGGGGGAGATGGCGGTGAAGACGTTGACGTTGGCGGAGCCGTGGTTTTCTCTCTGGAAGTGGCTGAAGGAGAGGATGACGTTTTCGGAGTAGGAGTAGTTGGAGAGGGTCTTCTTCTGGAGCTGGTGGGAGATGAAGACCGGCGTGGCGCGGCCGACGAGCTCGATCAGGTGGAGGACGTAGACGGAGACAGGATTTTCTTTGGTGGGGCAGGAGACGTCGAGGAGGTTGATGATGGGGAGAGTGTTGTCCGGCCTGTTTATGCATGCCACGATTCGGAGTTCGGCGTCGTTGGCGGCGGATTGCATGATGTTTCTCTTCTGATAGCCGGCGTATTTCCTTTTGGGGTCGTACAAGTAACGCACGGCTAATGGCACGATGATTGCAGTCCCGAAAATAGTGGCCATCACAAAGCTATAGATCTCCAAATCTATAACCTGCATATATGCAATATATAGTATGTCAATATATGCCAAAGAAAGAAAACTGCATATATGCAATATATAGTATGCAATTGTTGAAAATAAGTTTTGTTACAGAAAAGAGTTTTTTAAAATTGTTTTTTTGGGTTCTATATTGCAGTAAATTTAATAACTCTTTGCATGAGATGAAAGATGTATATATACATTTTTTTAAGAGGTGAGAAGGATTTGTTTTTCTTCTTTTAAGAATTGGGAGATATTGAGATGTATGGAAAGTGCAAAATATTAATAGTTAATCCACGAAGTTATAAAAGAAAATTAAGTGGAATGTCACAAATTTTTTTGTGGTTCGAATTTTTGCCGTACTTTTTTGGTTTTGACTAATTTCTTTGTGTAGCAAAAATCAAAGCTCCAAATATTTGTAACATAAATCTAGATCTTTTTTAAAAAAAAATAAATTCTTTAAAATTTCTCAAGTTATAAGATAGATTATGGTGCAACAAGTATACGTACCTTACTATCTCTGGCAATTCCATAAGAGGCCATTTCTACAACACCCTTGTAGGACATTATAAAGGCTATAGCCAAGGAATCCTTGAGAGGCATCTTACTAAAAATTGGAGGAATGAAGGAGAAGAAAAATTTCGACAATATAACCACACCAACGACAACCGCGTTGGCCTTGGTCACATTGGAATTAATCTTGAGGTCATAAGGGCTTGCTTTAATCATTCCAACCGTCACAAAAACAGGCAAAAACACCCCAGAGACCAAGGGGTCAAACTTCTTGACCAGCGCAGCCCCAAGTGGGGGCCCATCTGGTACTGCCAGGCCCAATACCATCGGCCCAAACATGAGGGTCATGTGGTACCAATTTGAAAGCACGGCAGAGAACATAACGGCTATGATGATAACGGAAATGTAAATCTTCTTCACGGGCCGTCCTTCGGGTGTTTGGCTAACCACCCACATCATGGCTGGTCTCGCAACATAGACAACCACAAGAGTGAAAACCGTGACCAAAACAAGGTCCAAAAACCCTAAGGCAATAGACTTGTCCCACAGTTTGGCTAGAGTTGCCAAGGCCGTCAAAACCACGCCCAAAATGTCGCTTATGATCGACGACGACAACCCGAGTCGACCGAGCTCCGAGTTATAGATCTTGAGGTCTTCGAGGAGAACGGCGACGACGGGGAAAGAGGTGATGGCATGTGTTGTGAGGATGAACATGAGTTGAAGATTCTCTTGCTTGTTGAGATGCCAATATTGGCTGACAAGGAGCTGAGCTCCGGCGCCGAGGAGAAGCGGGGCCACCATGGCCAAAGCGCCGGTGTGGAAGGCCTTAAAGCCTGTCCTAAACACAATGCTCAAGTCCATCTTCACTCCGCTAAGGAAGATGAACATCAAGTAGGCGAAGAGTGCGATTGTGCCGAGGATGTCTTGGTTGTTTAGGCGAAAGACTGCCTCAAAGTACTGATCAACGAACCGTGGGGCAACTCCGTCGCCAAGGAATATTCCGGCCTGTAATATATATGCAATGCATGGTTCATGCAAAATTACGTGGTTAATTATTCCAAAAAATAAAATGTAAAAAGACAGAAGAAGACTTCAATATTTTGATTCAAGTTTTAGTCTTTACGTACCTAAATATTTTATGTATTTACCATTTTGCCTCATGGCTTTAAAAGGAATCAATCAAGTCGTAAAATATGATATGTAAATAAGAATGGATAAAATTGTAATCGTAATTCGTAGTGTATAATTTTTTTTTTTTCTCTTATGTCTGTACATATATAGCAAGGTTAAAAGTATCACTAGTGGCATATCATGAATATAAAAGTAATTAAAAAAATGAAAACTTCAAACTTTTTTTTTTTTTACTTCTCCTTCCCTCCTGCCAAACATGTCGAACTTGCTTAAGACTGTTCGGTCTAGTGAAACTGCACGTCTGAGTGAGGTGGCCGGGTTTTAAAACAAATTGTGAATTCGATCCGGCCTTGAATAAAAAGAAAAAATGGACCATGGATTTCTTAATTTTACTAACTAGAATCATTTGATGTCATAAATCAAATATGCCTTTCCTGATTCATTCAAAGAATAATTCACCACAAAAGGGAGGAAAAGATGAATTCTATAAAATAAAATTTAAAAAAAAAAAAAAACAGTTTGAAATTCGGTTACTTACTAGAAGTTCGGCAACAAACATGGGCAAGCCCATCATCTTGAGAAAAAAATGTGAGATTTGGGTGGCGAAAAAGATTGAAAGCATTTCCACTTCAAGAACTGGGATTGTATAATTCTGCAGTGGGAATGAAAAGTTGAAGAACGGCAATGTGGCATTAATATGCCAGTAATCCGTTTTGTTCCATAGCCCATTTGAATGAGTATTCGCCGGAAACGTAACGCACCGTTTTATAGGAATGATGGTTCTCGCGCTTGTGTTGAATAGTTCCATTTTGTAATTTTTTTGGCACCGCAGAAAACAAAGAAAAAAATAGATAAAAAGAGGATTAAAAAAATTTCAAGAGAAGAACAAAGAGGAAATCCAAGGAAAACTAAAAAAATTCCGTAGTTTTGCCCTCTTTTAAATATGGAAACAAAGGTAAGAATTAACTGATTCCTTGTAATTGTTTGAATATTAGTTAATTAATCACACGGTATTTCTTAATTATTGGAAAAAGTATAGCTAATTTTTACTAGGAATGTTTCAATTGTCGTTAATTTGTTTCCATAATGTCCCAATTCTTAACAAATCCCTCTGATATTTCTAACTTTATGTTTTTGCAACCTTGTAGTGTCTAAATTTGGCTAAATTGTTAGTAATTCTAGCGGCTTGTACTTGTTTAGACTTGTATTCGGAGAACAGAAATTTTCATAGGTGAGATATCAAAACATATGGTTTCATTTTCCCCAAAAAAGAAACAAAATTCTTAACCATCCTTTTACCATTTACTACAACTATACCATTAGATGACTAATTTTTTTACTCTCACTTATTTAAATTGTTTTGCTCTTAAATAATTATGCTAAAATATTAAAGTTATATTGGAACCCAAAAAATAACGTCCATAGTTGTGGAAAAAGAAAGATTATGTACTTCAGAAACTAATTCCATGGAATTAAAAAAAAAAGTTGAAACTTGTATACTTATTTTATTTTAAGCAATTTATCAATTTTTATGGTTGTTTTTTAGAAAAAGAAAAAAGAAAAACGTGCAAGAAAAAGTTGGCTTACAAATATTAGTTTAGTCATGTTGTGGGAACAAATGCTTTAACCCAAGGGTAGAATACTTTTAGTAAAAAAAACGTTTAAAATTTTAGTTACAAAATAAATTGGTAACAAAGATGGGTATTGATGAGCGTGCAAAAAGTTTCTTAAAAAAAAAAGCTTATTTACCAAAAAAAAATCTAAAAAAGGACAAACAAATTTAGCACAAAAAAAAAAAGAAAATGTAAGAATATAGTGGATCTGCTTCAATAACCACCTCCCATCGAGGTGAAAAGAAAATATAAGAATATAGTGAAAATATAAGAAAATATAAATATATCTATATATAAACTAATTTTGTACAACAAAAATCCCCCTAATTTTTTTTATAATACAACAATATTTCTCACTGCAACGCGCGGGTAATTAGCTAGTCTAATCTATATATTTAACAACTGCTGCAGATTCTTTCTGAATTAATGACAAGGATAAAATTTTTTATGAAAGCACTCTCGTATAAATTCTGTGAGCTCGTTGATGGAAAAGACAAATTTAAAATGACGATCACAACATTTCATGTTATGCAGATGATAGTGGTTTTTCTAAATTTTAATATTGGATTTTAAACACTCTGTTGCATTTTATCAATTCAAATTGTAATTTTCTACAATTAAAAATTTATGAGGTAAATTGTTAATTTGATCAAAATTTATTAGATACAATCGAGACAAACCTAAGGATCTTTCTATAATAGGATTCATTATTATTTACACGTTTCGTACTACTAAATCTAATCAAAATCATATCAAAATGAAAAAAAAAAAAAAAATGTATTTTAGGACCGATCTAAACTTGGAGACAAGAAGTAGTTCTCATTCGAAACCCTAATAACTTAGCTGTAAATTTGGGTCGCCAAAAAAATCAACTCGAAGTCAACTCATTTTGACCCGAACCCAACCCTATACAGACTTGGATTGGTCTGAAGTTTTAGGTCCGAAAGTATTTTCAAGCTGAATCATCCATTTTTTATTAAAAAAGTTTAAAGACCCTATAAACACTTGGGCTGATTCAAAATTCTAAACCCAAAAGTATTTTCAAGCCGATCCATCCCCTTTCATAGTTTATATTTTTTAAAAAGAGATTTAAGTTGGTTTGAAGTTCTACACCTGAAAGGATTTTTGAGGCGAACCATTTCTTTTTTATTTAATATTTAGATCCCGTTTATTTTGCTGATTCGAGTTTAAAATTTGAGTTTGTTACAGTAAAAAGCTCTTAAAAATAGTCACATTTAACTTTTTTACTACAATAAAAATCTCTCACACAACATCATATCTCAACTCGAATTAGCGAACCAAACGGGTCCTTAAAAACCCTATACATACTTGGGCTGATTCGAAATTATATTTCCAAGTGTTTTCAAGCCCAAACATCTCCTTTTTATTTTAAATAATTTTTTAAAGAGAGAAATAGAGAATTCGTCTTAATTTTTACTTTTTACTCTTAATAAATAATTTTTTTAAATAATATAGTTTTTGTTTTAGAATGACTAATATAATTATTAAACTAAAAGAATATAAGAGAATTAATAAACTCACGAGTCTTCATTTTTATTAGTTATTTTTTATTAATATTTTTTAACTAATATAATTATTTAACTAAAAAATATTAATTAAAAATAAAAAATAAAATCTATTTTATATATATTTTTTTAAAAGATATAAATTAAGAATAAAAAATAAAAATTTCTACTCATATCTTGTCTTTTTTTCTTTTTTAAAATTTTATCTTCGTCCTCTGAACTTATTACCTCTACGAAACCATGAGGCGAGTCTTCGTGGGCCGTCGTCGTGGAAAAATGTTTAGACGACAATACTTTTGGAATCTTCGCCACCGCTCACCCGCTCAAAACTAAACCAAACCCCAAGACAAGTACTTGCCAACGAACAAAAAGAGCCTCGATATTGTCGTCCCAGACAGTACGTTAAATGCCCCTCCATTGACAACAACGCTTACATACACACTCTTCCTTCTCTTTCTTCTTCTTCTCGGTTTCTTCGTTTCGATCTTCGACAATGGTGGCCGTAGCTTTCTCTAACTCCCTTCTCTTTCCTTCTCCCACTTCGGAGTCGTCTTTCTCTCGCCGCCTAACCTTTCAATCTCCCTCACGACTGTCTCTCGGCAACCCCAGATCTCAATCTTCGCTCACCCATTTGGAAACGAAGGGAAATTCTTCTCTCGAGACTGCTCCTTGTTCCCTTCTCGATGTTGCGAAAGAATCGTCTGAAGAAACTACTCTTCCTATTGAATTGAGTAACGGATTTTCCTTCTGGGTTTTTCTCTGTTTTGTTTATGTTTTCTCTTGGCTTTTGAATTGAATTCTTGGGACGAAAATGTGCAGGATATGAAGCATTTCCTACCGTGTTGGACATAAACCAGATTCGTAATATTTTGCCACACAGGTTGAGATTTCTTTTTCGGAAAAATGTCTGTAATTATTATTATTATTTGTTTTATGTCCATAAATCAGAATTTATTAGGACCAAATTGATGATTTACCCAATTTATCAAGATTTTCGTAAGTTTATTTTAAAACTAGGGACATTTTTGTGTTGGAAGAGAGTAAAATTTTGACCATTGATGCAAAATCCCTGATCATTTTTCTTTTTGGTTATTTAGGTTTCCATTTCTTTTAGTGGATAGAGTGATTGAATACAATCCAGGAGTTTCAGCTGTTGCAATCAAGAATGTAACAATTAACGATAACTTTTTTCCTGGGCATTTTCCCGAGAGGCCCATCATGCCTGGTGTTCTCATGGTTGAGGTAATTCCTTCATTCCAAATTGTTTTTTTTTTTTTTTTAAATCTTCATTACTCTGCAATTTTACAAACTAGTCATTTGATGTTCTAGACATTGATGCTCCTTTTAGCCGGCTTATTTTGCTGTTGAAATTTGTATTCAGTTGTGGAGTTTAAGTATTGCCTTGATGAACGAACGGACCGACCTTCCTATTAAGGCTACTTAATTTTGGTTGGGCCTTCTCCGTGGTGTAGGGGCGAACCCCTTGACCAAACTTTTATTAAGGCTACTTAATTTTGGTTGCCTTACTTTTGGCTAAAAGTGGGTGAACCACTTTAGATCTTGTGTATGTTCTTGTTTGTTTGTTTTTCTTCTGTGATTTTATTGAGTAAAGAATTTGGATGTTTAATTCTTAACAGTTTCTATATTAAAGACGGTTATCAAGTCTGAATATTAGCTGCTGTTTGTTTCTTTGATCTAATGATGCGTGAATTAGGATTTGTTATTGCCTTGTTCCTGATGAATCTGATAAATACACCATGTTTCCTTGGGCTAACTTTTATCTTCAAATCAGGAGTCTTGAGAGAAAACAACCTCTTGCTTATGCTATCTTAGATTTCTAATTTTATTTGCCTTGCCTTCCTTTGGATTCATGTTGGTTTCTGCTGCCGAGTTCATAGAAGCGTGTGTATGTTCTGTTGTCAAAATGAAAATATTTCTTCTAGTTGATTATAATTCAGCCCAATTTTCAAGTATGTTTTGGATTAGAAGTAGCTGTTCAATATTGTTCAGTTAATATTAGTTGGATTATGACTAGATATATAGTGTAGTGAAAGTACTGGGAGGTCTGCTTAAATTTCTCAGATTGTGTGTCAACAATCTATATAACTGTTGGTTTTGCATTTTTTAAAGTACATTTCTTAAAATGTAAAACTACCTGGTGGTTTTGCCATGAAACAGTTTTTATGGAAAGTAAGTCTCATTTAAAATTTTTCCTCCTTTTCAGTTTAAGCTGTGTTATTTGCCTTCCACTGACTTTTAATTTGAGCCACTTTCACTCTTTTGTAGAATGACTTTCTCTTTGTAACATTTTGGTATAAAAGTACTTGTAGATACTTGTAGGTGGTGGATGATATGCAGAAATTATTATTATTATTATATTATATATATATATATTGAATAGGCAGAAAAACTTTTAATGGACCTAAATGTGAAATATCTGCATCTTTTTTTTCCTTGGTGGCGTTTCACTTGGTTGATAAAACAATAGCACTCTTTTCCTGGTGGAAAATATGTCCTTGGTTTTTTCACCTATAAGATTAATAGAATAACAGATCCAGAAAACGTTTGAATTATATCGATTTGCTCAGCTTTATTGTCGGTACTTGGCTAATTAGTAAAAGCATCAATTTCGTTTTGATCTAGGCGATGGCACAAGTTGGTGGTTTGGTTATGCTGCAGCCCGAAGAGGGAGGCTCTCAAGAGATCTTCTTTTTCGCTGGAATCGACAAAGTGAGATTCCGGAAACCAGTGATTGCCGGTGACACGTTAGTTATGAGAATGACGCTTATCAAGTTTCAAAGACGCTTTGGAATAGCGAAAATGGAAGGGAAGGCATACGTCGGAGGGGAGCTTGTATGTCAGGGCGAGTTTTTGCTGGCTACAGCTGGCGAATCAAATTGAATTTTGTTCTTAATATGTTGCTGCTAGTGCTTAATTCTGCTAATATGCATTCCGATTGCTCATTTCTTCTTCCTTTTTCCTTTCTATTGTAAGACTTGCGACAATCTTAGAGTTGGTTAGTGCTTTTTTGACTCTCTTGTCCTTTTTTTTTTTTAAGATTTGTATTCATTCAAAGTCAATTCTGATTTCCATTTATATGGCAAGTTATTCACTTGGGATTATAACAATCAGATCATGGCTCAATTTCAACGTGAAATATCACAAGCTTTCAAGTTCACCCTGCACAATCACTCGTAATTCTCGAAGTTCAAGTTCAACTTTAGAAAATCATTTGTGGCTTACTGAGTTACTGCAGTGCAGAGCTCAAAAGCTTTAGCCCCCGTGTGGTTCATAGGTCTAAACTTAATTCAAACCTTTTTGCTATTTGCTTTCATAAAAATTTAAATTTCTATTCAAATATATGAACCAAAATAGACTAGTGTTTGTGAACCCCGAAAACTTGTGATTTTAACAGAGAAGTATATTTGCATCTAGCCATCTCTCTCTTTGCTCTCCCCTAGTGAAATTCATTTGGGTATATTTATTTGACCGTATTGTATAAGAATACATTAATACAATGTTTGGTATGATCATTGTATTGTATAAAATAATATGAATGGTAAATTAACGGTTTATGTCGCACAATAGAAAACGATCATTTTGGTGTATTGTACTATTTCATAGGGTCTATGATTCATGTTGGGATTAGGCGTGATTTGAGGTTGGGGTCAGGCCGACACGCCGTTATGCCGAAATCTATAATTGTTTAAAAATTAAGGGGTAACAATGAAAATTTAAATTTTTCAAAAATTACATTTGACCCCCTCAATTTTAAAAAATTATATTTTGATCCAAAGTTTTTGAAAAGTTAAAATTTGACCCCAAAACTTTTGAAAAATTATTGTGTCCCCAAATTTTTGTAAAATTACATTTGACCCCAAATATAAAAAAAATTTACATTTTGACTCCTTGTACAATATGTCATAACACCAAATTTAGTATTGTATTATGATAATACAACACAATACAATATACGTTATACAATATAATATAATAAAGTTACTTGGCCTCGCTATTTCGTTGTGGATGTTGTTCATCTAGTCCAAGCATTTTTCTATCCCATTACTTGAAACACTTCACATTCTGCAGAGTTAGGCAACCTCGACCTAATCTCTCCGAAAATGGCCAACATGTTACACAATTTCAAAGATTGAACAACATTTACAAGTTACATTACAACTTGCAACTTTTCTAGATTTGAGTTTGGTTTGTATGGAGTAATCTTTGAGTGAGAATGGGAATCTTCACACATTACTATGTTTGGTACAAGAGTTGTGATTTTCATATTCCCAAGAATATGAATCCTATGGGATTCATTTTACCCTAAAATGGGGTAATTTGAATAACACCCAATATGGTGTTATTCATATTCCTAGGAATCTCAAAAGCATGTCACTCAAGCCCAACACACCACTGTTCTTCTCACTTCTGAAGGCCTCCACCGGAACTCCTAACCTCCGCAGGCCCTCACCGTCACGGCCTTCACCACCGCCACTCCTCACCTCCGCAGGGCCTCACCATCGCGGTCCCCGCCATAGCACCCTCACTGTCGTTGCTCCCCAACGTCGCGAGTCCCCACTGTTGCAACCCTCCCTCGATTGAGCCCGGAAAGCCAACATTCTAGGCTTCGCAGGTCCCCACCGTTTGCAACGTCATGGGTCCCCACCGTCTACAACCCGCCCCCCCCACGATTTTAATATATTCTAAAAAAATTATTAATATTTTTTTTTTGAAGAATAACTTACAAATTTATTTCTTAAACTAAGAAGAATTTTTGTGTTTCTTAAGGATAATCAAATTTTTAGTACTTAAAATATTTTAAATTAGTTATTATGAAGAAGAAATACATTACATTACTCTGTACCAACCAAACACAATAAAATAATTTTCCTGGGAATATGAGAAAAGATTCACATTCATAACCAAACGTGGTAATACATATTTCTTAGGAATCATATTGCTTTCTATTACTTTCCTAGTAATATGATTTCTGCCCATTACCGCATACCAAACGCCGCCTTGGTGTTCGGAAAAAACAAACAGCTAAAACCATGATTTCATGGGATATTGCCAAATTTATTCACATTACGGCAGTGCAGACTAGAAGGGGGCCGGAAAAAAAAATTATGGTCAATTTATTCACCTAATCTTCCCCTGCATTTCGTATCTTTTTTATGGTCATCCTCTCATTCTTTGTATTTATAGTAAAACCAGATGATTTTGAAAATTTCTACAAATGCCTCCTCTGAACTAGTCAGATTATACTCAGATTATGGAAAATTCATGTGAATTTGTCATATGTTTCGATGTCATCCAACATGTTGGATGACATATTTCACTTTTTTTTTTTTAAATTTAGGGTGGGAGATTTAAATTCTTCATCTTATGGTGGGATCAAGTGTGGAATCACCGTTAGATTATGCTTGTAACCACTATTTCACATTATTTTGACGTTGCCTAGTAAGGGAAAACGTGACATTTCACGTGAATTTTCTCTAATTTAACCAGTTCAAGAGAGAATTTATAGAAAAATTAAAAAATTAAAGAATTTTTCAGAGTATGCAATGGTATTCTTACAAAAATGTGGAACATAGTGAATGGTTTTGTAATTATCATGTCATTGATCATGCAAACACCATAACATTATGGGATACTAAACCACCACAATGTCTCACTATTTGATTGGTAGAATCGGATATCATGTGTAATTCATTGTGTTCAGATGGGGAACTTTAAATGCCAAATCTTACAAAAACGATTCCAAAAATTCCCCATGTTTGGTTCAACTATTTGAACCAAATAATTCAATTTGAATTGTGTTTAAGGGTTTAAATTAACGTTTGTTAGTTTGAATTGCTGAAACAAACAGCACAGTTGAAAACTCTAAAATAGTATATTGTACGCTCGATATTGTGGTTTATTAAGATAGAATAATGTGCACTAAATGCAAATTTAACCAACTCTAAACGTCAAGTAAATTTGACATGCTAGAAAATTTAGTTAAAACTCTTTTTAACCATCTCAAAGGGAATATAGCTTCCTAATAATTGAAGAAAAATTTGAAACTTTTTGGAGAGTATAATAGAACCTTTGTAATTCTTATTTTATCAATTCCGTTACAAAATGCATTTTATTTATTCTGAAAAAAGATAACACTACTTTAATTTCTCATTTTCTGCTCCCCAAAAATAAAAGTAAAAAACATCCAAACGGATTTTTTTTTTTTTTTTCCCGAGAGATATCCTACTTTACTACCACAAATTCCTTAGCCATGTTTCAAACCACAAGTTTGAAGTTACAACCAAGAGGGCTGGCCTTAGAATCTAGCTTCGAATTTAGATATCTCTTTTCTTGAAAAAAAAAAAAAAAAAAGTGCACTTACACTGCTTTCTTTTGCACGTAATTTGCCACTAACTGCATCTATTTGGTTTATGAATTTACAGATGAAATATTTTGTAAAAAAACTTACATCTCTAAAAAAATAATGGTCTTACTCATGAGCTCTTTTTCTTTTTCTTTTTTTGTTAAAATGACGTCATCTCATTTATCTTAAGACAGTTTGTAACTTTCGGAAATTGATATCACTTCTTTTTTGTGTGTTAGTTTAATCTATAATCTATAAATTGTAAAACGGAGGAACATCCTATTCATAGTAGCAATTTCTGAAAAAAAAAAAATAGAAATTTCTTTTACTGCCCATTATTAGAAAAACTAGATAATATGTAATGACCGTGTATTGATTCTGTATGATGAGATAACTAACACATTTATGTTAGAACAACACAATTTAAGGATTAATTATATAGGGAATGTCAAGTCTTCTCTTTGACTAGTAAATGTAACTTTTCTCGTATAATATCGTTGATAATTCAAACACTCAATTTGCTCAAGTGTAACAATAAAAAAAATATATAGTTGAGCATTGTAATATTGAAGTATTACACTATCAAAGTATTGAAGTATTACACTTAAACAAACCAAATGTTAAACATATGTGTGGACGATGTTACATGAAAATACGAAAAAAATTACTTTTATTAGACTGCACGGATGTCGGACTTAAAACTTTATTTAATCTAGATAAATGCACTTTCAATATGGACATGTCAACTTGCTCTCTGAATCTTTTAGGATCATTGCACTCTCTCAATTACATAAATTCATTTTGTACACTCTTTTTGTTCAGATCCGCCCGCTTATAATACTATCAGAAGGTTTGTAACACTAATTTGTAGTTTCATTAATAAAAGCAAAGTCTAACAGGGTGGGAAACGAGCATTATGGTGAGATAAAACACTTAAGTAAGAATAACACCCAATAGTATTTAAGTATATAACTAAAGTAGTCGAAAATGAGATCAGTTTGAACTTGTTCTCCAGTCCCTCTCATCTCTAAAACTCAATTAAATCTATTAACACCATTAATAAACAACACTAATTGCAACACAAACTCCCAAGTCCATTCCGTACAATTTACAAGCCAAGAGCACCGAGAGGGGTCTTCCCCTGACCAGCCTCGAAGTAGAAGATGAGCATCGCCAACATGGCGATCCTGGCGTGCTTAATCTCCGCCAATTTCAGTCTCTCCAGCTTCTCCCCGTCCGGCAGGTAAACCCCGTTCTGTATCGTCCCCGCCAGCCCCAGCGGGTCGAAGAACTTCCCGCCGGGATACCCCTGGTCACCCGTCGCGTTAGCGAAGTTCTCGGCCGTCCTTGACCACGGCGTCGCCCACTCGATCGATTGGGATTCCGGGTTGAAGAAGTCCACCCATCGCTTGCTCTCGACCCACCCCATCAGAATGAGTTGGGTGCCGAGGAGGGATCCGAAGGAGAACGGGGCGATGGCGCCGGGGTCTGCGCCGGCCTCGAACCAGGGGATGCCGCTCCATGCTTGCCCGACGAAGATCCCGACCACCGCAGCCATGGCCCACCGCCCGTGGATGAGCTCGGCTTCTCTGTACCACTTGAGGAATGCTGGGTCCTTGCCGAGGCCTAGCGGGTCGAAGCCATAGTCGCCCGGGAGCCTGCGAAAATGGATACAGGTTCATGGTTTGCACAAATTGAGCTCGGATTTTTGCCCTTTTGATGTATGACAAAATGCCGCATATAGATAATTGTTTCTCAAAAACGACATTATTTTTATTTCACGGAAAGTTATAATACTAAAATTTAAGCTGTTAAATGATGAAAAAAAAAATCCTGGACAAAAACAATTACGCCGATTTTAGACTGCTATACATTTGTATTCTAGATTTTCGTTATAAAATTTTGAGATTTTAATAACAGACTATGTTTTGGACAGCTATATTTGTATAGTTTGACATGATTTCACCAAATCTAATGTTAAAAACCATATCGCAAAAAGAACCTTAAAATTTTTAGTGATGTGTATCGTTGAGGGGTTTTTTTTCCTTAAAGAGTATGGCGAATTGCGGTAATAAGATTGTTGTGGTAGACAAAAATAAGGACTTACGAGCCATCGAGCCACTCGGGGTCGACCAAGTTGCCGCCGGCTCTAACACCGGGGAGCCACGACTTCTTGGGCGCAGCGGCGGCGACAATGAACCTCTTAGGAGAGACATTATTGCCGCTTGTTGTTTTGGCTGCGGCGGAGAACAAGGCTCGGCTGCTCCTCTTGCTTCCGCGCAGGAAGGACGAGCCCAACCCGTTTAGAACCGCACCCGATGTCGCGGCCATTTTCGTCAATCCGATCAGGGGAAGCTGAGAATTTTGGTGGTTTTGAAGTTTTGGAGTTTTGGTCTTTTGAAGTAGGAGTGAACACAAAGAGTAGTTAGTAGGTGTTTTTTAAGAAAATCTAAAGGAATGGTTTGGAAGGAGCCAAGTAGGATAATGAAATCTGGAGAGGAAATCTGGGAAGGCTTCGTGGATAGATTTCGGACCAATGGGGACTCAGAACTCCATGCCCATCCTCATATTGGCTCCAACCACGTAGACCACAATTCCTTCTTTGCATGTTTCACTTTTTTAATGTCCGTACGTTTAGTTCATAGATTTATAATTATAATTTAAAATTATTCTCATTTTATGTATATTTTTTATAAAAAAAATATTATAGAGAATCATATATCATGATTCAAAATTATAAATGAATACAGAAAACAAACGTTTACTCAATTGAGTTTTAATTTGAATTAAAATTTAATTTTATATGATAATTTTATAGTGTAATAAAAAAATTAAATATAACTATTTTTAAAAAAATTTTATTATAATAAAATTTAAATTTTAAATTTAAATTAATAAAATAAACATGACTTAAACAACTAGTTTTCATTTCAACCTCAAAACTATGGCTCAGAAACAACGGTCTTGGCCTCTGTCCCCACAAGGTCTTATATATATCTTACTTTGATGTGACTATTAAAATAATATCAATAGGAGAACAAAAAAAAATAAAAGAAAAATCATTACTCTGAGTTACTTTCTTAACAGTCGTTTGAAGGCTCATTGATTTAAATTTTTAATTTGAGTTAAAATATGACTTTATGTGAGAACTTTTTATTATAATAAAAAAGTTAAATGTGATTATTTTTTATAATTTTTTACTGTAACAAAACTCAAATTCTAAATTTGAATCAACGAAATGAACAGGCTCTGAGAGTGTAAAATGTACCTGATTTTATAACTTATTACGTCACAGATAATTTCTTATTACTCAGATTTGATACAATAGACCTAATTGTGGAGGAGCCAGTTTTTTTTTTTCCCCCTGTGGTGGCACTACGAAAAGGTTGGAAACACCTTTTTTTGAAGTTTTCTTGTAAAGTAAAAGCATATTGATATATTTCGGCCCCGTTCATTTCACTGATTCGAGTTTAGAATTTGAGTTTTACTACAGTAAAAAGCTATAAAAATAGTCACATTTAACTTTTTTGTTACAGTGAAAAGCTCTTACATAAAGTCACATCTCAACTCAAATTAAAAACTCAAATCAGCTCATTAAACGGGCCATTCATTATTATGTGCAGACGTATTTATAATTTTTCTTGTAAAATGACGGCCCTTTTAAAATTTTTAAAACTAAAAAAATAATATTTTAAAATTTAAGTGTGGATACGTATTTTCATTAATCTTCGTGTGACTCTATCATTGGCATAGTAAACAAATAATTTTGAAGTTAATTACATAAATGGTTTATGAGGTTTACACTTAATATTATTTTTATCGTTGATTTTTAAAACATCTCGCAGTTAATTCTTAAAATTTTATTTTAGTTCAGTTTCGATCTTTCCATTAGCTAAATATTAGATTCCACAGTTAGTCCATAAATTTATGTTTAGTGACTAAAACAATAAAAAAATAAAAGTTAATCCCACAATTAGTCCATAAATTTTAAATGTTTCTAATTTTAGTTTTTAATTTACAGAGATTCTGATAAATATTTAATACCTAATTAACAGAATGACAAAAACTAAAATAAAATAAAATCTCAGAGATTAAATGTCAGATGTTTTAAAAATTTGAGAATAAATCCCAATGATTATTTGTGAGATTAATTTAATAATTTTTGTATATTTCAAAAAAGAAAAAAGAAAAATTACTTCATAAATATTAATCTCATTTTTTATTGATTTGAGTTTAGAATTTCTTGTTATTTATGTCATTAGTGAATTCTCTATCATTTTTTATATTGTTCAAAAAAACGTCAAACTTACCCTGTAGAGTGTAGACCCATTTTACGAGACCCTAGAGCTGTACGTGCTTGCACTATATGATCCAGATTATGAGTTACCGTTTTGCTTTAATTGAGTGGCTATTTGATCGCTTTCAAGTTTCAAACAATTGATGTGCCTGCTTGCTTCGATCTCGTTTAGTTTATAGATTTAAATTTTTAATTTGAGTTACGATGTCATTTTATATAAAAATTTTTTATTATAATAAAAAAAGTTTGATGTAATTTTTTGTAAGAATTTTTAACTATAATAAAATTGAAATTAAAAACTCAAATTTGTGAAATGAACGATGTAAGATTAAATATTTAAATTCTGTTCATTTTACTGATTCAAGTTTAGAATTTGAGGTTTGTTATAAAAAAAGTTTTCAAAAACAGTTACATCTAACTTTATTGTTACAATAAAAAACTCTCATATGAAGTTACATATCAATTTGAATTAAAAACTCAAATTAACGAAATAAATGAACCATTAACCCGTTTGTTTTGCATATTACTACAAATTTAAAAATATTTTCTCTCATAGAATATTTTTATTTCTATTCAAATCTTCTTTTCAAATCTATGAATATCTTAACAAGCTACTGGACTTGGGCTATAATCAATCAATTGAACATTGCGGTTGATTTATTTTTGTTTAGCAATCACTTCCCCAAGTTGGAAAGACCTGAGTTGATTAGTGAGGAATCAAAATGGTCAAGCTTTCCAAGGTTAGGTGCTTAGTCTATTTGAAACAGTGGTGCTTTAGGTTCAAGTCCCACGGTAAAGAGGATTCAAATCACATTTTTAATTTTAGAGTTTTAATTAGTGTGTAATTAATTATACTGTTACACATCAATTAATATAATTAAATATCAAAGCGTGAAAAATCAAATTAAAAAAAATTTAAAATTTTTAAATAAAATGTCATAATATAATTAATTAGACATCATTTTAAGTAATTTGAGTTTTTTAGGAGGAGACAAGAATTTTTGTTTTTGGCTGGAAATAAAAGAGTTTGACTTGTTGGACCAAAATAGCCTGTGTAAAGGAAATACTCTCATCCGACTCCGCCGCCACCCCTTCCTCGACCTCACCAGAGTTAGAACCCTGGACGACGACTTCTTCTCTGGCGACGACGACGACGATCGTAGCCTCTTTGGCTCCGGATAAGAAAATTCCAGAGATTCCTCCGAAAACACACCAAAATTATTCCTCCGAAACCCATTTCCTAGTTTTCATGTATATAATGTTTATTTAATATATTTAATATTACTATTTTTTTAATATATTATTATTTTAAATATTATTATATGCTCTCCCGCCTCAACCTCGCTGCCCCTAACCACCACCACAACCGCCTCCGATCATCCTCATCTGACTCTGCCGCTGCTCCTTCCTCCACCTCACTAGAGTCGGAACCCTGGATGATGACTGTTGGTCTCCGAATCGAATTCGGATGCGGAAGCGTGGTGCGGGGGGGAAGGCGGATCGTGTATAACAAAAATTTTCATAAAACTTTTGAGATACTCTATAGATTATATTAATTTATACACGAATAAATTAATCTCATTAATTCATTTATCAAGAACTCAATC